GGAGGGCGCGCCATGTGTTCTGGTGCGCCTTACCGGAGAAGGAGATGGGGGAGAAGTGGTCCTCTCCCGAGGAGGGGCCGCCATGGGGTGGCCGGCGCAGGTGGGGCCGCGGAAGTGTGCGAAAGCGTTCCCGTGGCCCTGCCAATATGCGACGAGGGTGGAACACCATGGGGTTTTAGTCGGTGCGAGTCCGACATAACCCGTCCTTGCCCCCGCGAGGCGGGTATGCGTAGGCATTTCCCCATGTAAAAAAAAAAAAAAAAAAAAGGTTAGGTTAGGTTAGGTTAGGTTAGGTTAGGTTAGGTTCCCCCCCGAACGGGTTCCCGCCTTGTCGTGGCGGGGGGGCTTAGTAGCCGTGGCTTGGTCAACCACGGTGAACGAAGAGGAACCCCTTGGCTGGCCCGAGGTGTAGGGCCGGCCCGAGGTGGCCACTCCGAGTGGGCTTGGGAAGCCCACTTCGGATGTGTGTCGGGGGGCTGTGGTGAGAGGGGAGTCCGCAACCCTCTACCGCTGCAGCCGAGGTGGAGTCGCGGAGGAAGAGGAGTGTTGGTATGGCGATGCGCCACTCGCCCTATCCTCCGCGACTCAGACGGGGCCGCACCGTTGAATGATGCGGTGGTGGTGGGGCTGCGGGGGGAGAGGAGTGTCGGTATTGCGAGGCGCCGCTCTCCCTACCCTCCGCAGCCGAATCTTGGTTGGCGGCGGAGCCATAGACCAGATCCGCCGCTGGGGTCGGGAAGGCTGGTGCTTCTTAGTGCTAGTTTTTCCTGGCCCCATGGCCTTCGCGCATCGGACACGGGGGCGTCTGTTGCGCATATGAAATTGGAGGCCGAGGAGGAGGGCGCGCCATGTGTTCTGGTGCGCCTTACCGGAGAAGGAGATGGGGGAGGAGTGGTCCTCTCCCGAGGAGGGGCCGCCATGGGGTGGCCGGCGCAGGTGGGGCCGCGGAAGTGTGCGAAAGCGTTCCCGTGGCCCTGCCAATATGCGACGAGGGTGGAACACCATGGGGTTTTAGTCGGTGCGAGTCCGACATAACCCGTCCTTGCCCCCGCGAGGCGGGTATGCGTAGGCATTTCCCCATGTAAAAAAAAAAAAAAAAAAAAAGGTTAGGTTAGGTTAGGTTAGGTTAGGTTAGGTTAGGTTAGGTTCCCCCCCGAACGGGTTCCCGCCTTGTCGTGGCGGGGGGGCTTAGTAGCCGTGGCTTGGTCAACCACGGTGAACGAAGAGGAACCCCTTGGCTGGCCCGAGGTGTAGGGCCGGCCCGAGGTGGCCACTCCGAGTGGGCTTGGGAAGCCCACTTCGGATGTGTGTCGGGGGGCTGTGGTGAGAGGGGAGTCCGCAACCCTCTACCGCTGCAGCCGAGGTGGAGTCGCGGAGGAAGAGGAGTGTTGGTATGGCGATGCGCCACTCGCCCTATCCTCCGCGACTCAGACGGGGCCGCACCGTTGAATGATGCGGTGGTGGTGGGGCTGCGGGGGGAGAGGAGTGTCGGTATTGCGAGGCGCCGCTCTCCCTACCCTCCGCAGCCGCGTCTTGGTTGGCGGCGGAGCCATAGACCAGATCCGCCGCTGGGGTCGGGAAGGCTGGTGCTTCTAAGTGCTAGTTTTTCCTGGCCCCATGGCCTTCGCGCATCGGACGCGGGGGCGTCTGTTGCGCATATGGGATTGGAGGCCGAGTAGGAGGGCGCGCCATGTGTTCTGGTGCGCCTTACCGGAGAAGGAGATGGGGGAGGAGTGGTCCTCTCCCGAGGAGGGGCCGCCATGGGGTGGCCGGCGCAGGTGGGGCCGCGGAAGTGTGCGAAAGCGTTCCCGTGGCCCTGCCAATATGCGACGAGGGTGGAACACCATGGGGTTTTAGTCGGTGCGAGTCCGACATAACCCGTCCTTGCCCCCGCGAGGTGGGTATGCGTAGGCATTTCCCCATGTAAAAAAAAAAAAAAAAAAAAGGTTAGGTTAGGTTAGGTTAGGTTAGGTTAGGTTAGGTTAGGTTAGGTTAGGTTAGGTTAGGTTAGGTTAGGTTAGGTTAGGTTAGGTTAGGTTAGGTTAGGTTAGGTTAGGTTAGGTTAGGTTAGGTTAGGTTAGGTTAGGTTAGGTTAGGTTAGGTTAGGTTAGGTTAGGTTAGGTTAGGTTAGGTTAGGTTAGGTTAGGTTAGGTTAGGTTAGGTTAGGTTAGGTTAGGTTAGGTTAGGTTAGGTTAGGTTAGGTTAGGTTAGGTTAGGTTAGGTTAGGTTAGGTTAGGTTAGGTTAGGTTAGGTTAGGTTAGGTTAGGTTAGGTTAGGTTAGGTTAGGTTAGGTTAGGTTAGGTTAGGTTAGGTTAGGTTAGGTTAGGTTAGGTTAGGTTAGGTTAGGTTAGGTTAGGTTAGGTTAGGTTAGGTTAGGTTAGGTTAGGTTAGGTTAGGTTAGGTTAGGTTAGGTTAGGTTAGGTTAGGTTAGGTTAGGTTAGGTTAGGTTAGGTTAGGTTAGGTTAGGTTAGGTTAGGTTAGGTTAGGTTAGGTTAGGTTAGGTTAGGTTAGGTTAGGTTAGGTTAGGTTAGGTTAGGTTAGGTTAGGTTAGGTTAGGTTAGGTTAGGTTAGGTTAGGTTAGGTTAGGTTAGGTTAGGTTAGGTTAGGTTAGGTTAGGTTAGGTTAGGTTAGGTTAGGTTAGGTTAGGTTAGGTTAGGTTAGGTTAGGTTAGGTTAGGTTAGGTTAGGTTAGGTTAGGTTAGGTTAGGTTAGGTTAGGTTAGGTTAGGTTAGGTTAGGTTAGGTTAGGTTAGGTTAGGTTAGGTTAGGTTAGGTTAGGTTAGGTTAGGTTAGGTTAGGTTAGGTTAGGTTAGGTTAGGTTAGGTTAGGTTAGGTTAGGTTAGGTTAGGTTAGGTTAGGTTAGGTTAGGTTAGGTTAGGTTAGGTTAGGTTAGGTTAGGTTAGGTTAGGTTAGGTTAGGTTAGGTTAGGTTAGGTTAGGTTAGGTTAGGTTAGGTTAGGTTAGGTTAGGTTAGGTTAGGTTAGGTTAGGTTAGGTTAGGTTAGGTTAGGTTAGGTTAGGTTAGGTTAGGTTAGGTTAGGTTAGGTTAGGTTAGGTTAGGTTAGGTTAGGTTAGGTTAGGTTAGGTTAGGTTAGGTTAGGTTAGGTTAGGTTAGGTTAGGTTTTTTTTTTTTTTTTTTTTTTTTTTTTTTTTTTTTTTTTTAAACTTACTCTACTACTACTATTCTGCAGTACCCTTCGTTCTGTTATAATTATATCTTTTGTGAGTGTTTTCTGCTTTTTTTTTTTTTTTTTTTTTTTTTTTTTTTTTTTTTTTTTTTTTTTTTTTTTTTTTTTTTTTTGTGTTAGTTCCGTACTGCTTACATTTGGTTTCGGCATACTATTACAAAGACTTTTACAGTAAGTAAATTATTATCTTGAAGGTGAATTATATAAATATTCTACATTTGTTCTGGTTACATAGTGCTATGTTTTAAATTGTCTTTTACAATTTTACTACGAGTTTATTTTTTACATTATTTTAATCTGCTCGTATTAATATTTTACAAATGTAATACTATTATTATTTCATTCTAGTCCTAATTTAAATAACAATTATTAATGTAATGCTATCATTACATTTAGAATTTGTTTTATGCATACTATGATGATGACTTTATGTTTGTTACATTGTTATCTTATATAAATAATTTATACTAATTCTAGTCCTAATTTTATGACAATTCTTTAGATAATGTTGTTTAAACTTGCTTTAATCGTTTTTTCTGTCTACATGTTATTCTCATCTACATGTTATTATTAAACTATACAAATCTAATGTTAGTATTTTTACGAATATAATAATATTATTATTTCAAAGATATTATTTAAGTAACAACTTCCCTACTTTAGGTTAACGATCACTAATCTATTATCCTACTACCGTTTTCTTTATTGATTGTTTGTAGCACTCTTAATGCGAATTCCAAAAATACAGTTCGGCAATTGTTGTAAAAATACAGTTCGGCAATTGTTGTCATCAACTATTAACGATAATGACTCGTTATTTATGACCAACCCCATTCTGCTCTCGCATTCGAATCTTTTAAGTGAAAACCGTGGGCAGTATATTAATATATGTTCGATTGATTGTTGACTTTCGTTATCGCAATAGCAGTATGGAGATGGTGATAGTTTGAATCTATATAAGTATGCTTTGTTGCCACCGTGACCTGTGAAAAGTTGAGTTAACATATTAGTCATTTTGATGTCTTTTAATATTTTATAAGCCTTTTCTATATTAGGGAAGAAAGTCTTCGTTACTTCGCTGCCCGTAGAGTCTTCATATTTTGCCTGCCACATTTGCAAAGTATTTTGTCTGGTGAGGCGCTTTGCGTACGACAAAGGAACTCTATCATATCTGGCTTTTTGTTTATTTTTGACAGCTGCATACTTAGCCAATTCGTCAGCTCTTTCGTTACCGCTTATACCAGTATGCGCTTTTATCCAGTATAGTTTTATAGTGCCTCCTTTTCTTTCAATTGTTTTAATATTATCTCTAATTTCAGCAGAAATCGGGTGCAGAGATGACGGATTACTGATACTCATTATTGCAGATCTAGAGTCGCTAAAAATATTTGCTTCTAGTTGGTTTTTCGCTATCAAGTATTCTAAAGCACTCAAAATTGCCACGAGTTCGGCTTGGTAGACGCTGCAATAGTTTTCAAGTCTAAAGTTAATACTTTTTGTTTCGGTGTTCTTGTCCCAGATGGTGACGGCGGCTCCCACTTTGTTATTAAGTTTGCTTCCGTCAGTATAGACTTTTAACCAGTTATTAGTTTTTTCGTCGATATCTTCCTGAGAATTTATGTATTCGAATTTGTATTTTTTCCTTTCGGAGGGATGTGGTAAGTCGAATGGGCTTATTCTTTTTTCTAGTAGTCTGCCCGGTAATGATTCGATAGGTTTCCCACGTTTTATTTCATAAATGATAGCATTTTCTCTGGCTCTGAGTGCTAAAGGTATTATTTTAGCCAATAATGTGCTCGATACTAGAGAGTTAGTTTTATGGCCTTTGCAGATTCTTATGCTGAAAAGTCGCATACAGCACCGTTGGTTCTACTACAGCAGTATATATTGTGCGGACTATGTCTGAGTTGAGTCCCCATTGTGCTCTTGCCGCTTTGGACACCATTTTATAAAGATTTACTGCTTTGCGACTAATATTGTCTAAGTGTGGTTTAAAGTTAAAATTCTTATCGATCGTAAGGCCTAATATTGTCAGATGTTCTGTGTAAGTCAGCTCTATTCCTTCCATGTACAATTTAGGAGTGTGGAATTTCAGTTTTTTCGTAATAATTATTGCTTGGGTTTTATGCGGTGCAAATTTTAACTTGTACTCTTTTCCCCAGTCTGATATAAGTTTTAGGGTGTGGTTTAGATCTTTCTCTAGTTGTTCTCCATTGTTGTTGGTGCCTATCAAGAGTATGTCGTCCGCGAAAGCTTGGACATGAGTGCTTAGGTCTTGTGTTGCTTGTAAAAGGGAATCTAATAAAATATTCCATAATATTGGACCACAAGTAGAGCCCTGAATGCATCCCTTATTTGTAGGTCGCGTTACGATTTCTCCAGCATATCCTAAATCGATTACTCTGTTGGATAGGTAGCTTGTTACTAGTCTGAGAATAGAAGTTTCTGCTTGTTTGGCTTGTAGTTGGTAGATGATTGCTGGCCACCATGCATTATCAAATGCGCCTTCAATATCAAGTGACACTAGTGCGACAATTTCCTTTTTGCGAAGTCCGGTTTTGATTGCAGTGGTGGTGTCGTAAAGGGCATCTTCAGTACTCCGTTGTGGCGTGAACCCATATTGCCTATTGTTCATCTTATTATCGTGTCCGAGTTGCCATTGTAGCCTGTTTACAAATAGTTTCTCCAATAATTTTCCTAGTATCGGTAGTAAGCCTATAGGTCTATATGATTTGGGAATAGAATAATCTTCTTTATTTGGCTTGGGTATAATTTTGATGGTTGCTATTTTCCACTTTGTTGGGAAATAGCCAAGCTTTAGACATTGATTAATTAGACTCAAGGCAATTTCTGGGTCGTTTTCATAAGCCGCTTGGCAGATGTCTGAGGTTAAACTGTCTCCGCCCGGTGCCTTTTTTGGGTTCATGTTATGGAAGACATGTTCGATTTCTGCTGTTGTAAAAGGCTGTACTGTTTTTAATGTGTTATTTTCTAGTTTTCTTGTTAATTCCTGTACACTATTCCTTAGATTAACTTGCTCTTCAGTATCGGTGTCAACGCTGTCCCACGGGAAAAAGGTTTCGGCCAATAGATTGGCCGATTCCCTTTCGCTGAGAATCGTACCGTCTTTATTGCGTAGTAGCTTCTCTTCTTCGGTGTTAGAACAAACTTTGAGGATTCTGTAGGTCCGTTGCCATACGTTTTCCTTCTCTTCGGTGCTGCATAGATCTTTCCAACTTTGTGTTGCAGCTGTTTCTATGCTGTGGATGTATTCATCTCTTGCTTTTAGATAGAGTTCTATAACAAGCTTACGTCTTTTAGGGTGCGCATTACGAATTCTTCGTCTTGTCCTAACCATTTCCTCTTTTTTAAGTTTGAGCTCTTTAGTCCACCAAATTGCTGCTTTCTTTGTTTTCTTGGACTTTATTGTGGGGATTACTTTAAAACATGCCGATGAAATGCATTGCGTATATTTATCAATCATAATGTCCATATCTTGTGTTGTCTTAATTTGTTCTATTATTTCCTTGTTTACTTGTTTGCCACTTAGTTCTATCGTGAGTTCCTGTTTGAATGCTTCCCAGTTAGCTTTCCTAGTATCAAACTTTCGTGTGCTGATAATTGTCTTTTCTGGTATAGAATTCTCTAGAACAAGCTCATATAATATTGGTTTGTGGTTTGACAAAGTGCTAAATATTTCATCAACTCTCCAGTTCTTGATTTTATTTATTAAAGAAACTGAACACGCTGTTACATCTATAATGCTAGAGCAAAGCTTGCCCATTCTATAAGCTGCGAATGTTGGGTTTCTGCCAGTATTGACAATTTCTAGATTTAGTTCAGCTATTGTCTCCATTATATGAGTACCTCTTTTATCATCCGCATCACATCCCCACCAGACACTTTTTGCATTAACGTCTCCTGCAATTATGTAGTCACTTGTGTCCACAACCCTTGTGAGTTGGTTAATTTTAGCGAGATCTTCATCGATGTTTCCTTTTTCGTGCAAGTAAATACTAATTATACCTATTTTCTTATAATCTACTTTGATTGTGATTGTGACAATATCTTCTGTAATAAGGTCTGGATTTACAGTGTACTGTATGTTTGGATTTAAAACAACGATTGCCGATCTGACTGGTTTATTTTTGTCGTGACTAACTTTTTGGACAACACGATAATTCGAGCCTAGGGTGACGTGAGCTTTCGCCCCAACGTATGGTTCCTGCATAAGTACTATTGAGACTCCCTGCATGGTGGCTGCGCGTAAACACTCTTGTGTTGCCGCACGCCCACGATCCAGGTTGTATTGGACTATTTTTATTTTGTTTTCGACTGAGGTTGTTGATACATCAAGTATCTCTTAACAGTAAGATACAGATGATCTTGCTATCTTGTCCCATTTTGCCCACTCAGGACATTCAGGGCTGTAAGCCGGATGGCTTATGTGTTCTTTTTCTAAATTTTTACAATTTTTGCAAATTGGTGTTTGATTTCTATTCGTGCACAGTCTAGTATCATGCTCCTCGGAACAGTATCCACAAACTAGTTCGTTATGGCAATCTCTAGCTAGATGATTAAATCCAAGACACTTATAACATTGTGTCAAGGGAGAGTGGTCAACGCATGTAACTACTTGATAACCTATACGTAGCCTTTGATCTTTTAATTTTATCCACATTTGTGGTGTTACTTCTAGAATGATGTTGACCAGTTCACGGACCCTTCCTTTTGTTCTGCGGAGTACTTTGGCTGCTTTTTGGGGTTCTGTTATACCCGATACCAGGTTATTATTTTGTGTCACCAATGCTTTGATCAGTTTCTCGTCACTGAGATCGGATATGACACCTATTAATCTCAAGTGTGGATTTTTGTTCGATGGTGTAGACACTGATAATTTAGTGCACGAATCGCGAATTGCAGTTCTTAAAGTTTGTCTACCTTCTTGAGTGTCGCAGCTGATAACTACTCTTTGGTTTTTCAGTTTTGTTATCTTGTTCACACCAATTCCTAGTTCCACTGGATCAATCTCCCTTTTCACCTGTTTTACAATATCTTCGCTGGTAAAACGAGGATCAATGGATTCTAGAATCATGGGAAATCGGGGCGTGCTCAGAGCATCGGCATAAGTCCTTTGAGGTGGCTTATACGATGCTCGGGCCTCCCGTTCGATAGCTTCACTTTCCATTGGTGGAGCACTGAGGCAGTTCTTTAGTTCATCTATCTTCTCTTTCATTTCCGCAATTGCCAACTCTGCTCCCAGTCCCGAATTGCCTTGGAAAGCTAGTTGGCTTGTGTTAAATTCTTTTATTTCACTTATGTCGTTTCTCATAGATTTTATGGTGCTGATGATTGGGTCTAAAACTTTTTTAATGTCCTCACTTTGGTCTTTTATTGTTGTGGTGATACAGGGAGGTGTTGTTTTGATGTCTGAGATCATTTGTTTTAACTCCTGTATCTCCGTGATGACTGTGTCAGTATCTGCTTGTATGACCTCAGGGACTATTGTTTTCTTTTCTGTCTCTTTAGAAATACTAATAAATTGTTCGAACATCTCAGTTAAAAGACTGATCTGTTGTGTCATTTCGTTTACCTGTGCTGACAATTTTGTACCTAACTCTGATTGAATCTGCGCTGGTAATGGGATTAATGCTGGTGGCGCTGGATGTGGTTGTGCCCTTGTGACCAGTCCCTGTACTTGTAGATGAATTTTGCCTATGGCCTTTATTGGCTCGTCCATCTCGTAACTCAACCAGCTGCGTATAGCTTCAACAGACTTGCTTGTATTGCGAATTGTTTCGAAGGATTCTGTTAGCTTGTTTAATACCGTTGAGTGAATTTCTGTCAGCTGCTTGTTGTGAGCTCGCTCAATTCTTACCAATTCCTTAGCAGATCGGCATCGTTCCTGCTCTAATCCAAGGCGATGCCGTGATCGGGAATCAGATAAGGAGAGCACGGTCTCGTACAATCCCTGCAAGCAGTTGTGTACCTCTAACTTGCAGTCGCGTTTCATATTTCCGGCTTTTTCGAGTGCTTCCTTGCCTGAGAGCAGGAAGTCATTTGCTCGTTGAGTAGCGAGGTCCATAGATATGCCAGCCCGCTTATATGCGGGCGGCAGTATACTGGACCTCCTGCTGTTAAGGCTGGTTGCACTATCTGCGTCAGACCACTCGTCGTCGGTACGTTGGGATGGTTTGCATTTACCTAAAACAGCCAATTCGGCTTCCGTGTCAAGAGTTATTGAGCTTTGATTTTCAGAGGGCGCTTCCTGTCCCATTTCAATTAAGATGTTATCCAGGTCTTCTGCTGCCAGTTCCTCAGGATCAACCATGTGTATAACTGTGTCAGCTGAACGATTCATTTCATCCGAAATGGGTAATGTGCCGTGATTTTCTTCTTCTTCCATCGTTTTACCCGAGGAGGCTGCGTTTTGTAGAAGGACTTTTTTTCGTAATACCTTACTTGTTGCAGGGCTGACTCTTTTGGTTGTCTTGGTTGTCAACTTAGCCTTCGCTTGGCTGGTGCTTGAGGTGCCTGGCTTACTCGCCATGTTTGATTCAGCGTGTTATCGACTGTTGACTCTTAAAGGTCGGCGTTAGTCAGGATTCCGTAATCCTTATGTCTCTCTGAGAAGATTGAGCCCAAACACGATGGTCTTATATATAACGGTTACGAAAAATTGATTTAAATTTGAAAATAACGGATCAGCTAAATTTTAAAATCTGGATTTCTGCACAGTTTGCCTCCTAATCCAGTTCTGCTCAATTTGCTGACAAGAATAAGCCCAAACACGATGGTTTTATGTACAGTAGTTATTGAGTAAATTAGGTATGAAAAATCAAATATGGCGGCTTGGTGGAATTAAAGCCTAAATAGCTCAGCCATTTAATGTCCAAAAGTATTGTTGTTTGGGTTCTTCTCGTTGAGGGAGGTGCCGGCTGTATGAATTTCGACTTTTTCTGAGCCACTGCTTTCTTGCAAAAATTTTAGCAGAAAGAGGTTTCCCGAGTTCAGCCAATAAGTTTAAGCCCAAGCACGGTGGTTTTATCTAGAATGGTTCACAAGAAATCACGATTGAAAGAAATTCAATATGGCGGATCGAAATATTTGAATATGAATAACTCCTCCGTTTATGGTCCCAAAATAGCCGTGCTTGGATTCCCTTAAATAGGGCAAATAGTGGCTTCCCACCCGTGGGCTATTTGTAGGGTTCCAAATTTTCAGTAAGTTTTCCACGAAATCGGATTCCCCACGTCAAGGCAACAAAAACAAGTCCAAACTCGACTATCTCTGATGGCCCGACAAGGAAGAAATCAAAGATGGAACAATTCCAAGATGGCGGCTGATTTCACGAAAAGTCCTCAACTTTGCTCCAGCGCAAGCTATATGTATCGAGTTTGGGCTCGTTGTAAAGGTCTTTTATCCACCTATAAGTTGGTGGTCTTATTTAGTATAAATGTTGCCCCCCTTAAAAGATTTAAGCAAAATACTATAAAAAAAAATTCAATATCTCTGGAAATAAAGTAGATATTATCTTGCTGTAAACGGAATTAATTACATAAAATTAGTCACTTCGATATGCTTTTATCAAAAGTAGCCGCAACGCTAATATAAGGGTAACACGTGTTTAACAAATATATTAAAAATTTAATAACTAAAAAACTATCAACCAGAAAAATCTAAAAATTTTTATACAGGTTCCTTAAACTATCCTTAACACTATTTTAATATAATAACTGGGGGTCTTCACTTTAGTTTTTAGTTTATTGAAATGTCAATTTTTGCTAAATTTTAAAAAGTCAATAAATCTTAAGCCACTTATCGTAAAATTGTCCCGAAACTTGCTCCCGGCTCCTCTCCGAGCGTGCTACCGGAATCCGTCCTCAAAAACAGCCGCACGCCTTTGCTTCTAAAAACACGTGCCCACGTGGCACTTGTTTTTTTGCCTTTTTCTCGAAGACTATGGCTCCGAAAAATCTCAACTTTTGCACATGGGTGGGGGCCGTGAATAGGTTGAATGCCGCACTTTAAAAAGTATGGGTAATAGCGCTTAATCGCGCAGCGTTTCACTTTGAAAATTTCAAAATTTTCGAAAATCACTTTTTTCACTATAACTTTTTCACCAAAACTCCGATTTTCTTGAGGTTTTCACCAATTTAGACCGCGAGTCAAAGCGCAACTTTTGACATATAACACACCAAAATCGGCTGCGAAAAACCTATTTTTCGGAATTTTTAAGCGCGGAGCGACTTAAAAACGTGGCGTTCGGGACGGCGGGCGGTACGGAACTGAGGTTAGGTTAGGTTAGGTTAGGTTAGGTTAGGTTAGGTTAGGTTAGGTTAGGTTAGGTTAGGTTAGGTTAGGTTAGGTTAGGTTAGGTTAGGTTAGGTTAGGTTTTTTTTTTTTTTTTTTTTTTTTTTTTTTTTTTTTTTTTTTTTTTCTGCAGCCCTCTGACATGTAAATCAGAGTCGTTGTGTATCACTTAATATGGAGTCCTTTAATTTTTTGTTTACTTTTCAATTAAATGATAATTTTTCTTGCAGTTCAAATTTTTCAATGTATCGGTTCATTCTCTCTGACTATACTGGCTATAGGCACAAGGAAGCCCCGATTAACAATTTTGCGTTTGCAATTTATGCCATACATTACACTTTGTTAACACAACGCTCATATTACATTAAACACATATTACTTTTGAAAATCATAATTACATACTATAATTAATAAATTATATAACTAAAACTTTGTATAATTAATAACATTTAAAAATAATAAAAAATATAGATTAAATTGTATTATAAATTAACATATTGACTATTAGTATTACTATTCTTATATTGATATATTGTGATTGTGATTGTAAACTTAAAAACTTAATTCAAAATATACTTGTTAATGTAAAACTATACTACCTACTTAACTTCGGTTATTTTTCACCACAATACTAACTATTTCTTCACAGAATTTAATAAATTTGTCACGAGTGTTTCTAGTGCGGTTAGGTTAGGTTAGGTTAGGTTAGGTTAGGTTAGGTTAGGTTAGGTTAGGTTAGGTTAGGTTAGGTTAGGTTAGGTTAGGTTAGGTTAGGTTAGGTTAGGTTAGGTTAGGTTAGGTTAGGTTAGGTTAGGTTAGGTTAGGTTAGGTTAGGTTAGGTTAGGTTAGGTTAGGTTAGGTTAGGTTAGGTTAGGTTAGGTTAGGTTAGGTTAGGTTAGGTTAGGTTAGGTTAGGTTAGGTTAGGTTAGGTTAGGTTAGGTT